ATATATACACACACACACACACACATAATATTTCAGGCTGTAGCTCAGGCTGGTTTTGAACTCACTATGTAGCCCAGGCTGGCCTCAAACTCATAGCAATCCTCCTGCCTCAGCCTCCCAAGTGTTGGGATTACAGACATGAACCACCACTCCTGGCCCTGTTTGTTTCTGCTTTGTAAATCTTCTTTGCTGGGTATGATGGTGCATGCCTATAATCCCAGCACTGGGGAGTCTGAGGCAGGAGGATGGCTGTGAGTTTGAGGACAGCCTGGTCTACATAACAGGACCTTATCTCAAAAGAACAAAACACAAAACAAAACAAAAAACAAAAAGAAGTTTTCTTTTGTCTATGATTTCTACTGAGTAACATTTGGACCATTCTTTTAAGAGTATGATGCACTGTGTTAGCTACTGTTATTCTGTAATTGTTTTGTTATGAAATTTTGTTTTGTGTTTTCATTGAACAAAAAGAAAGCTCACGGGCTCCTAGTCAGGCCTCACTTGCCTGGGAGGGGCCCTGAGTCCTTTGGTCCCTGTCTGTCACAGGCCTCTGCCAGGGGCCTGGTTTCTTGTGCCCCCACCCCAGCTTTGGCTTCTGTCACCAGGCAACCTCAGTGGCCTCTTTGGCCTTCTCCCACTGCCCCCATTTCTATAGGGCTCCGGGTGGACCCCAGATGGTGCCCAGGTTCAAGACTTGATACAGGCGAATGAAGGTGACCCCTGCTCTGGTGTGCGCATGCGTGGTTTATCAGGGATCAGCAGTCACGATGCGCAATAGGGTTCAGTGCTGGTGCCCGCGGAGGCCGTGGGGGGCTGTGGGGCTGGCAGGGCGGCTGGCCCTGAGTGTGCCCTGTGTGTGGGGAGTTCCAAGCCGAGGGGCATGACTCACAGTTACAGATGGGCCTGAGAGGGGGAATCTTCCGTCCTCACGGAAACCTGGGTGCCGAGGCTTGTGGTGGCTTCGTTTATTATCATCAAGAGCTGGGCACAACCCAGATGCCTTGCAGGTGGGTAGATAAACAATGGTCCATCTACACAGTGGATTGTTGCTCAGCAAGGGCTAGGAGGGGACAGCTGACACGTGGGACGACTGGGCAGAGCCCCAAGTGCCCAGGCCGAGGGGCGGGCATGAGGGGTGGAAGGCTGTGTGCCTGTCAGTGTGGGACAGGTGGCACAGGTGGGAAAAGTACTGGCTGGAAACCAGACGGCCCTGCTTAGGGCTGGGCAGGAGATGTTCATGCCGGAGTGGCCCTGGGGGGTCTCTCCGGGCGCATGGAAATGGTTTCTGCCTTGATTACTATCATGGTTCCATGGTTTTATGCATTTGTCAGAATTCTTAGAATTGTGCATGGGAACAAAGGTGAATTTTCTGTCTGTAAATTATACCTCAATAAACCTGAAAAAAAATTCGACAGCTGAAAGAGTAGTGTTTGCAGTGGATACTGTTGGCAGGGCAGCTTCCAGGGGCTGGGGATGGACCCAGGGCCTTGGGCATCTAGCAAGCCTCGTCCTGGCCCAAGGGGAAGCACTTCCGGTTCATTCTGTGGGAGCAGCCCCCAAATCCTGCCTGGTTCCTCTCACACCCTCGACCTATGGCCGTTCCCCAGACCGCAGGAGAGCCAGGGGCTCAAGGGGACAGACGAGAGCCCAGTCAGACACTGAGGCTTAGCGCAGGCTCCACTGCTGGCCAGCCCAGCCTCATCTACAAAATGGTGGCAATATTTTGTACCTCACAGAGCCCAGCGAGCAACAGATGGGATGACTGTGAGAACACTGGGCTCTCAGGAGGGTTGACTTTCCAGAATGACAACGAGCCCGAAATCCTGTCACACTTCTTACAAGCTGTGTGCTTGCAACCTTTCTGGGCTTCAATTTCCTCACTGATTAAAAAGCCTTTTATGGTCTCATTAAATAGTGTTGAGGATTTAATGGATATAAAGGCCTTGGCCCTGGGTCTAGAACATAGTGAGCTCAGGAAGAGAGCCCCAAGGACCCCCGTATTATCATACGGTTACCAAACCTGGATATATACATATATATATGAAATGTATGTTACCTATATTAGATATCATATATTACATATATATTATATCCAATTGACATGGAATAGCAGATAAACGATGCATAGGTTTTTGGGGTTTTTTTGAATTTTTGAGATAGGGTCTTGCTGTGCAGTTCAGGCTGGCCTTGAGCTCACTTTGTAGCCCAGGCTGGTCTCGAACTCGCAACAATCCTCCTGTCTCAGCCTCCCGAGTGCTGGGATTGCAGGCGTGTGCCACTATGCCCAGCACTTGTTTTGTTTTTGAGACAGACCTCTGTATATAGTTCAGGCTGGCCTTGAACTCACTATGTAGCTCAAGCTGGCCTTGAACTCTCAGTGATTCTCTTGCTTCAGCCTTTACACCACCATGCCTAGCATCAGTGAATAATTTTTTAGCATAAGTATACCCCACATAATATTTGGGACATACTTATGCTAAAAATAATTCATGACACAACTACACTAGAAGTGTTTATCTGGAATGCAAAGGTAACTAGACAATCAGAACTGCACCTGGCAGGGGAGACGCCTTGGGACCGATTTGAGGAGGAGACCTTATCTGGAGATGAGTGGAGGGTGGATCGTCTAGTGCTTCTCCATCTTACCTGCAGCCTGAGTCCCTCCCGGCTTCACCTGGTGTCACCTCGTTCAGGCAGCCTCTGGGCTGCGCGCCCACCGCCTGTGCATCCTTGGTTTGCTCTTGCTCCCGCCTGAGGCTTCCAGCCAGCCAGTGTCATCGTAACTCGCTCCTGGCTAGGGCAGCCTTTCCCGTGTCCTGAAGTCGTGTCTCGAGTGTGCGCCTGTGTGGCCGGCAGCCGGGGCAGGGTGTCCGGGTGCAGGCAGCAGTGTGGCGGGTCCTCTGCGTCTGGCTGATGGCTGAGTGGCAGCACAGCTCTTACATAATCGGTTTCTCTCCTCCTTCTTTTTCCAGAGCCAGACTTCACACTGAGCAGCTGCAGTCGGGGAAATCAGAGAAAGCGCCACCCAGCCTGAGATTCTGAGGGACCTGCTGGGGACGCCGCTCTTCCTCTTCCTCGGGAAGGAAGACCCCGAGGCCACCGGCTGGCACCAGCTCCTGGGCTGCGATGGGACTGGGAGCCGCCACCCCCAGGCTGTCCTCCGCCCTGCCGGGCAGATAGGGCAGCTGTGCCCAGGAGGATCCGCCCTCTGCCTGCTGTCCGGCACCTCCTCCTGGCCAGCTCTTCCTGGACTGGTGGCCACCTTTGCTGACCCGAGGCCATGTAGGCACCGCTCAGGCCTTTGCACACACGGCTGGGGACAGCGCCTCTGCTCTCAGGGGACCCAGTGCACCACCATGCCCCGGGGACTCACCTGTCTGCTCTGTGAGTACTGGGGTCCCTGGAGACCTTCCCTGGGAGGCCTTGGGCCAGAGCAGGCTCTGCTGTAGCCATGGCAACCAGGGTGTTCTTGATGGTGAGAAGTTGAGATGCTTCTAGCCTCCATGCAGGCGGCCTTGGGGACAGGGACTCTATGGCTACCCTTTGCCCTGCCTGCCACTGACCCCAAGCTCGGAAAGGCAAGCTGGGCATGCGCCCGGGCTGGGAGGGTGCGGTCATGGCTACAGAGTGGGGAGCCTCTGCGGTGGCATCGTGTCACCCCTGCAGACACACTGGCACTGGGGAGCACGGTGGGGCGGAGGTGGCAGAGGGGAGAGTTCTGTTCTCCCTGGGTGTGGCCCGTGGGGGTGGGTAGGGACTAGGGACCAGGGATCAGGGACCAGGGACCCAGGACAGGTGGGACACATGCCTCCAGGAGCCTGGAGAAATGGTCACCTCCCCTCAAGCCCTCCCTTTGTGACAGAATAAAACGGAAAGGCATGAAGATAACAGTGCTGTCTATAAAAAGAAAAGTAAGTTAAAATGAGCACAGGAATAAAAAAGAAAGGAATTGGAGAGCGGCTGGGCCTGCCGGGTGGGAGGCTACACCGCGCGCCTTGCAGACCCCAAGACCCAGTAGCACTAACTCTGAGTGAACACATTTCTCTGGGCCGCCCAGGGCCCACTGAGAGTGCGGCTGGCTTGGAGCTAGGTGCCCAGGAGTGAGCCGGTGGGTTTCCTGGTGTTGAGGAGCGGGGGAAGCAAGTGCGGGTGAGTGCCCCCAGGCCAGGCAGCGTCCATCGAGGCAGACGCAGCGTTGGTGACAGCATGGGCAGAGGCTCAGCGGTGGGGCTGGCAGCGGCCAGGCCACAGAGCCTGAGTAGATTGGGTGGCTGAGGCCTGGAAGGCTGAGCAGAGAGTGCCAGAGATGGCAGTGAGCGCTGGGGCCGGGCGGGGGCACGGTTGGAGGTCTCCGTCTGGGCTGGGGGAATGCAGGCGGAGGGGCAGTGAGAGGCAGGAGAGCCCCAGGAGGCGGCTCTCAGGGCTGGGCCAGGACCAGCTGGGGGTGCAGGGCAAACTGGGTGGCTCAGGACAACAGAATGTGCTCTCACCGACCAGGGCCCTGAGATGTGAAATCGGGGTGTGGGCCAGGCATGCGCCCTCCCAAGGCTCTGGGGAGGCTCCTTCTGTCGCCTCCAGCTGCAGGTGGCTCGTGGTGTTCCTCGGCCGCGTCAGCGCTGTTTGTCTCTGTCTTTGGCCGGCCTTTCCCTCTGTGTATCTCTGTGTCCCCTCTTCTTACCAGGACACCAGTCACTGGAGTTAGGGCTGTGGATGTTTTCATCTGGAGATCCTTCCCTCAGTGACATCTGCAAAGACCCTATTCCCAAATAAGGTCATACTCTGAGTTTCCAGTGGATACCAACTGGGGGGAATGCATGAGGGTGGGGTGACACGCCTCATTGGTCACTGCACAGAAGGCCACCTTGGGGAGGGCGCGGATCGCCCCTTCTACTCACCACCACCCAGGCCAGGGAGCCAGGAAGGGAGCACCTTACACGGATCTTTCTTCAGCCGCCACTTCTGCCTTGCTGCTTCTCATCACTGGAGGGAGAGAGGCGGAAGGGCCTCCTCACCAGGGTCAGGAGCGCGCTTGGCTGTATGGGTCCCAAGGTGACAGGTGGTCATGCACTGGAGGTTTTGACTGTCCTGTTCCTGCCCGGTCCCCCATTTCTCCCGGTGGAGGCAGCAGAAAAGAAGCAGAAAATGAGAAACGGTGGCCCAGCTGCCGACTCCAAGTGTGCCGGCCCCAGGCTTTCCTGGGACAATAATGCACCCACCTCGGCCAGGCTGAGGTGAAGTGGGCACTGAAGACCCAGCCCGTCTTGAGGCTGCACAGCCGGCAGGTCCTGAAGGCTCTGGAGAGACACCGTTTCCAGAGTAGGACTTGGATGGAGATGGAGTGCACAGCCTTCAGTGACTGCCGCACCCGGTGTAGACAGGAACACTCCTTTAATTGTATTTATTTTATTTTATTGTGTGTGTGTGTATGTGTGTGTGTGGAGGGGTTAAGACAGTCTGGATGTAGCCCAGGATGACCTCAAACTTGAAATCCTCCTGGCTTAGGTTTCCTGAGTGCTAGGATTATAGCCACACATCACCACACCCAATTTAGAAATATTCTTTTTCAATCCGACGGAAATTTGAATTTCTCTGGAATCTCTGTGGGTCAGGTATAGACCTGGGGATACCAGTTACTCTAGGTCTGTGGCTTTGTTTTGTTTTGTTTGCGACACTGAGGGCTGCACCCAAGGCCTGGTGCCTCCTGGGCAATCACTGCATCGCTGAGCTACACCCCACCCCGGCCCTGGTCTGCGGTCCCTGAAGTGTGTCCCGGGACCAGTGGTCACAATTTCATCTGGAAATTTGTCCTAGAGGCACATTCTCTGGCCCTACCCCAGACCTGCTGGATCAAAGACTGTGGGCAGGACTGGACTATTGGGACCTCAGACAGCTCCCCATGAGAGCCAAATGAGCTACAGGTGAACCCGGAAATGCAGGCGTGCAGTGCTCAGCTAGGGAGACCACACTGTGGGTACCAGCATTAGGGATTCACGCAAGGGTTAATGGCCTGGCCAGGTAATGAATGGACTAGACGTGGTGCTGAGACAGGTTGGGGCTGCTGCTACAAGCAGAGGAGGCCCTGGGCTTGGGGGAAGGAGTCCCAGTGGGACACTGAAAGAGTGTGAGGGGACAGGCTAGGCAGGGCCAAGCAGAACGGGAGCAAAAGCCCCAGGTGCAGGAACCATCTTGACCTCCACGGGCGGGTGCCAGGTGGAGAGGCTTTATGATTTTGAGACAGAAAGCGGTGATGTCAAAGAGGGACAGACTTGTGCTGGTCTGTTCCTCAGGCCCACTACTGTGTCAGGTGCATGGGGATGGGGAAGTCAACACAGATTACTGCCAGTTTGAAACCTTGCAAAAGCGTGGTTGTTAAGATTCTGTGAAAGGGAAGGGCAGGCAGCTGCAGCTCACACAGGGCTCAGGGGTAAGGAAGATGCTCTGTGAGGTGTCCCAGCAGGTGCAAAGGCCCCGGGGTGGCAGGATCCAAGGAGGGTGAGGCTAGGGGAGGAAAGAAGGTGACCTACCAGGTAAAGTGGCCAGGCCAGCAGGATGAGGGACAAATGCTTCCAAGTTGCCAGGCAGTGAGTGGGGGAAAGTCTAATTAGTAATTCCTACTCGTTATGAGGATGGGTCAGGGTGGTGCCTCAGCCTGCCTGGCTACTTTTGCAGAAACCAAACCAAAACATATGAGGATATTTACTACTTCTGACAGTAAGAATATGAGTAGATATTGGTTATAGAGAGTAAAAACTGCCCAGCAAAATGTAAAGAACATAAACTCCCACAGAGACCTGGTACATTGCTTTCTACAACACTTTTCACTCAAACTCATGGAAACAAGGAACAAAATTCAAAGCCTGCTATGTATGTGGATAGTATCAGGTCATGCTTTTATTTTTTATTGTTTTCCTCAATACTGGATTTTTTTTTTTTTTTTTCTGGTACCGGGAATTGAACTCATGATGTTGCGCTTGCCAGGCAGGCGCTGTGCCACTGAGCTAAATCCCCAGCCCCTCAATACTGGATGTTGAACCCAAGGCCTCAGCACTCCTACTGCCCCTTTTATAAATTTTTAAATTTTGAAACAAGGTCTTGCTAAGTCACTAAGTTGCCTAGACTGGGCTTGAACTTGCAGTGCTCTTGCCTCAGCCTCCCAGAGTGCTGGCGTCACAGGAGTGTGCCGCTCCACACCGCTGGATCATGCTTTTTATTTTTATTTATTTATTTTTAATTTTTTTTGTTTGTTTGAGACAGGATCTCACCATGCAGTACAGACTGGTCTTGAACTCACTTTGTAGCCCAGGCTGGCCTCGAACTCACAATGATCTTCCTGCCTCAGCCTCCTGAGTGCTGGGATTACAGGCGTGCGCCACCACGCCCAGCTTGGATCATGCTTTTTAAACATGTCACTAAGCATATTTTAAGTATTTTTCTCATCACATAAACATATCATTCCTTGAAAATGTGATTTTTATTGGCCACATTCACTCATACGTAATGTCTTGGCCACTTACAGATTTTCACTATTATAAAATAATGCTGTAGCAGTAAGTCTTTATCCATAAATACTGTGGTTATTACTCTCTTTCTTGTTTTCCTTCCAATTTATGAGTTTAGTGGGCCAAAGGGTGTGGCCTTGATTAAATTTGTTAATAACAAAACTTGCCAAATTGCTTTCTAGGATGAGAATGCCTGCTTCACTACTTGGCCAGCATCAGATATTAATAAAACAAAACAAACGCACAAAAACCTTTCCATTTCGATAGATAAAAAAAATGGCATCTAATTTTTTTAATGGTATTGGGGCTTGAACCCAGGGCCTTGGGTGAGCTAGGCAAGTTCTCTATCACCGAGCTACACCCCCAGCACTTTTTATTTTTTATTTTGAGACATGGGCTCGCTCAGTTGTGCAGGCTGGGCTCCAATGTGTGACTTTCCTTCCTTCATGTCTTCAGAGGCCAGGACTGCAGCAGGTGCCACCGTGCCCAGCTAATTGTTTTAATGTGAATTTCTTTCTTTTATTAGTGAGTTTGATCTTTTCATACATCTTTCCTTTTTATGTTCTGTTCTTTCTGCTCTGATCCACTTAACCCCTACTCATATTTATTGCAGAGTCAGATATTTTTTCTGTCCAGAGCAGTGGAGATCATCAAGGTTGTTTTTGAGGTTACAGTGACCCCTTGCGGTAAAGGCAGCTTATTGGTTGCAGGTTCAGCCTGTGTGAGATCTGCTTAGCATCATCCCACAGCCACCAAAACAGAAAGCGCTGTGGGCCACTGGCGTGATCAGGAGGATGTCAGACAGAGCAGGGGGGAGAGTACTTTAGGTCATTAGAGTCACTTTTAGAATTGGAACTAGAATCCACATCTGGGTCTCTGGATGGAAAAGTCCATGTCCTAGAGGAGGGGCTGAGGTTGCCTTGAAAGGGAGACTGAGCCTGTGCCCTGGGGCGGGAGCTGGGGGAAGGCTGGAGACCAGCCGTGCTTCCCAGTGGACCTGTGGGGTAGACATGGGTCACCATGGGGACTGCTCATGACTGCCTGTCCTTGCTGGTCTGGGCCCCAGGCCTGGGAAAGCACTGGGTACAAAGCATTAGGTGGGCAGGCTCCCCGGGGCTCTGCTCCTGCCGCCACCTTGCCCATGAGTACTCAGAACCCAAGGAAATGGATGAGAGTGGGTACGGCTTGCACACTGGTGTGGTGGGGCCACGGTGCCTGGTGCTCACGAGCTCTCGATGGGTGTGGTCCACAGATCTTGGGATCCTCCTTGGTGTGCCCTTGGGGAACGAGGGTCTGACCCAGAATAAGGAGTGCGCCGTCACCGGCTTCCTGCGGGACAAGCTGCGGTACAGGAACCGGCTTCAGTACATGGTAACCACATGCGCAGCGGCCGTGTCCCCGTTCCCAGGCCCAACAGCTCACCTGGTGCAGGGCCCTGGACGCTGAGGGCCTCCCTGGCCTGTGTCAGCCCCAAGTCACCACCGCTCACTGTCCACCATGCCCCAACCCCTAACCACACATCCAGTCTGCACTCTGTCCCCTTCTGCTGTCTCCCAGAACCCCGGCCCCGCTCCCAGGCCTGACCTTAGGTTGCCAGAGTGGACTGCAGCGACTTCTTGTGAATCCCAGGCACTTATTCCTGGCAGAGACACAGACCGACAAATCGAGATGTTTGGCTCTTCTCCGAGAGTTGGCTCTATAGGTCTGCTTCTAAAAATGGTTTTCTTAAGAGATAACTCATTCCACAGAATCCACCCACCTGCATTGTACAGCGGGTTGGGTTTTGGTGTCCACAGAGTTTGGTGTCCATCACAGTAAGCTTGACAGCACACCCCCTACCCAGACGCCGTGTCCTTGACTATAGTGGGGCCTCAGCTTGGGCCTGGACTTAGGCCTCACCGGGGAGGTGGTGATCGTTGGTTTCACTTGGCCTGTGACTGTGACTGTCTTCGGTCCGGTTGGGAGCCAGGGTGTCTCCTCCCTAGAGGGCCCCGCTGCCATCCCTGGGCTCGGCATCACCCGGGGCTGGGGGCCGTGTAAGCCGTGTCTGCCTCTGATGTCATGGTTTGTTGCGTCTCTCCTAGAAACACTACTTCCCCATCAACTACCGGATCAGCGTGCCTTACGAGGGGGTGCTCAGAATCGCCAACATCACCAGGCTGGTGAGGGCCCCCGCCCAGGCCCGGGAGCCCCCTGCCCCACGACCCCCGGCGGCCCCGTCCCTGCCCTTGCCCCAGCCCAGGCTTGCCACAGTGGGTGCCTATGGGGCTCCTTTGCGGGGTTGGGCGGTCACGGTCTGTAGGCCGTGTCTGCGGGTTCCAGGACTCTTCTCCCCTCAGCAGAGGAGCCGGGTGAGCGAGCAGGAGCTGCGCTATCTGTGGGTCTTGGTGAGTCTCAGCGCCACCGAGTCGGTGCAGGCGGTGCTGCTCGAGGGCCACCCGTCCTGGCGGTACCTGGAGGAGGTCCAGACGCTGCTGCTGAACGTGCAGCGGAGCCTCGCGGTGAGCTGTGCAGCGCATCTGCGGGTGTCGGGGGCTGGGAGGCCAGCGAGGAGCACAGGAGCCTGCCCGGGGGCCCCGAGGCGCGGGGAGAGGGGAGGGGTTCGAAAAGGGAACCTGAAGGAGCGGAGCATGTGGGCAGGCAGGGAAACGTGGGACTCATGTGGGCAGGCAGGGGAACCTGGGGCTGTTCCCGGCTTCGCCCAGCGCTCTGGGCCCTGCTGAGCAGGTCACGTGAGCCTCTGAATTTCTTTTTTTCTTTCTTTTCTTTTTCTTTGCTTTCTCTTTCTTTTGGATTGAACCCAGGGGCTTTGTACTGAACGATCTCATCAGACCTTTTTTGTTTGTTTGTTTGAAACGGTATTGCTAAGTGACTAAAGTGCCCCAGCTGGGCTGGAACTTGAAGTCCTCCTGCCTCAGCCTCCCAGAGTGTGCCACCAGGCCCGGAGGAATTTTTCTACGTCCGAGAAATGGGGCTCCTTTGTAGGGAGGAAGACTAGGTGAAGCACGGCAAGGGATTTTCTAGGGCAGTGAAATTATTCTGTATAACTTGTTAACAGGGGGCCCAGGACAACGTGCATTTGTCAAAACCCAGAGAGCTCCAACAGGGGGTGTGACCCTTAATGACTATGAGTTGAGTTAATTTAAAAAAAAAAAGAAGTTCCTTTCTACACACCAGGGTTGATCTAACGCTTTGAGGAGATGTCCTCTATAAAGCCCAAGTCATACTAAAAAGTAAGGCGGCAGAATTTTCATCATCCCCAGGAAGGCCACCTGTCCCTGCCAGCCCTCCTGAGACCCTTGGTGCGCACCTGCCTGGGGCCACCTGCTGCCAGGCTCTGCCAGTTGCCTGCCGTCATCTACCCACCAGGCCCTGAGCGTCCGGCACCAACTGTGAGTGTCGGAGGATGAAAGAGCTCAGGGAGCAGCAGCTGTTTTTGCAGCTGCCTATGACCAGCCCAGCCCTACAGCCCGGAAGGAGCTGCCTCCATCCCCGCAGAGGCCGAGAGGCCCAGCCTGCACCTTGGTGGCTTGTGGTCATAGGCAAGATGGGTGCCCAGGCAAAATGAGCCTGGGGAGGGGGTGTTGGGGTGTGGAGGGGACATTTCTGCCCTTGTCTTTTTCTCAAGAGCATTTCTGGCTGAAAACAAATATGTGGGAGCAGAAAAGAGGGATATTGGCCCTTCACCCTGCCTGACAAGGGCTGCCCTCTCGATTAAAGTAGTGCACATGGGGTTCTTTTATTATTCAGACGTAGCTAGCTTATTTTTATTTTTGTTCTTATTTTCGGTGCTGGACACTGAATTTCTGAGCTATACCCAAGCCCTATAGCCAGCTTTAAATCTCTCGTCTTCTTCTCCTTCTCCTTCTTCTTCTTCCTTCTCTTCCTCCTCTTCCTTGTCTTCCTCCTTCCCCTCCTCATCCTTTTCTTTCTTTCTTTTCTTTTTCTTTCTTTCTTTCTTTCTTTCTTTCTTTCTTTCTTTCTTTCTTTCTTTCTTTCTCTTTCTTCTTTCTTTCTTTCTTTCTTTCTTTCTTTCCTTCTTTCCTTCTTTTTCTTCCTCCTTCTCCTCCTTTCTTTTTCTCCCCTCATTTTATAAGACAGACTGGCCTTGAACTCACTGTATAGCCCAGGCTGGGCTCAAACTTACAGTGACCCTCCTGGCTCAGCCTCCTGAGCGCTGGGATTACACATGCGCACTGTCATGCTTGGCTTACATCTCTCTTCTGACACTGAATAGTCTGTGACCTAGTTTTTAAGGTGGAATGCACATACAGAAAAGCCACCCTTTGGGTTTCCTTTGCTTGTAAATCTCTCAGTGCTCATACAGTGTGGGAGGTCTGGCCTGGGATGTGGGTGACAGCTGTTTCCAGCTATTGCTTCACCCCTGGGCTTCAGATTCATCACTTGTTTTTTTTTAAATATATGTTCCAACACTGGGGATTGAACCCAGGCCCTTTTTATGGAACTGCATCCTTGTCCTTTTTAAATTTTGAGACAGGGTCTCACTAAATCCCTAAGTTTCCCAGGCTAGGCTTGAACTTGTAATCTTCCTGTCTCAGCCTCCAGGAATGCTTGGATCATAGGCTGTGCCTCCATGCCCTGGCAGATCCATCAGTTGTAAGAAGTGCTGGGAATGAAGTTTGAAATGGAACCTATGGTAGTTGTGGACTGGTTCCACAGTTGAATTTTATGTCCCCATCTACTTAGAGATACCTGGATTCTGGGTCCACATTGTTCTGGTCTTACACATCCCTCCTTTCTTAAATTTCCTTTAGAAAATAAACACAAAGAAAGAGCCAGGCGTGGTAGTCCACACCTGTAATCCCAGCACTCGGGAGGCTGAGGCAGGAGGATCGTTGCAAGTTTGAGACCAGCCTGGGCTACAAAGTGAGCTCAAAGCCAGCAGGAACTGCATAGTGAGACCCTGTCTCAAAAAAAAAAAAAAAAAAAAAAGAAAAAAACCCATGAAGAAGATTCTAGATAGAGACCACAGGGGCTGTGCTGCGAGGGAGCACGCTTTACAATATAAAACCTGCCGTTTGACCACTTTTAAATTGTACAACTTAGTGGTGCTAATTATATTCACAGCGTCAGGCAGCCATTACATCTGCCTGATGGAGACCACTATGAAGCAGCCCCGAGCAGGACTTAAATTAACCAATTGGCTTTTGATGTTTACGTGTGAATCTGTCTAAAGCCTAGGCCATTTGTCTGGAAGTGGGCAATGGACTCAGAGTAAGTGAACCTCTGTGAGTCACTAATCCCTACTAAAACCTGTAATGGTGGGTGAAGCCAGAAAGCCTCAAAGGATAAGACAAGAGCACAGCTAAGGACACCTGGATCCAGTCTCAACTAGATAAAGACTATAGCCTCAGGCATCTCACTGCTGGGTGCATTAACTTAATCCTTATTAAGGATTAATTTAATACCTTACCTGGAGAAGTCCTTCAGTGATTCCACCCTTCTTGAGAACTCCCCTCCCTTCTGATAACCAAATAAATATGGGTCACCCAGAAAAGGTCTTGGTCTTAGCCCTAAGAGAATCTCAAATTCTGTGAGAGGGCTTTGATCCTCCTGGAGCCCTGAAATCATTCCATTTGCCTCCTTTTATTTAGCCTTCACCATACACCCATTCAGGAGATTGTGGACCTGATCAACCCACAATAACTAAGGGATATTATTAACCCAGTATCTGCCCATTTCTAGAACCTTCCCTTACTCCAATGGAAACTACCCATGAAGCATTCACTCCCCATTCTCTACCTCTCTGCACCCCTAGTAACCTGTAATCTGCTTTTGGTCACCATATATTTGCCTCTTCTTGGTACTGCATAGAAGTGGAATCATGCAGTATTTGTCCCTTTTGTATCTGGTGCTTTGCACTTTGCATATTTTCAAAATTCACCCATTGGCCCCTGATCTCTGGGAGGCTGAGGTAGGAGGATAGCAGGAGGAGTGAGGTTGCTGTGTCACATGGTAATTCTGCTTGGCTTTTCCTAGAGTGCTGTAACAAATGAACCCAACCTGGGAGGTTTAAAGCACACACTGGCGAGGTGCAGTGGCACATGCCTATAATCCCAGCAGTTGGGAGGTTGACGCAAGTAGCAAGTTTGAGCTCCCCCGGACAATTTAGTGAGACCTTGTCACAAAACAATAAACGAGAGCTAGGTGTGGTGGCGCATGCCTACAATCCTAACACTCAGGTGGCTAAGGCAGGAGGATTGTTGTGATTTTTCTAGACTCTGTTTCTAAAATAAACAAACAAACAAACAAACTGAACCTGCCCTGCAGGCCAGAGAGGTGAGACATAGCTCACAGGCTCCTGCACTGCAAGTCTGGGGTAGCACGGGCCAAATGACCCCATCATTCTTGTGTGGTGTGACTCCCATCTGTCACTAGTCCTGATGGTTTCCTCCTTTCCAGGATGTGGAGATCAGCCCCCAAGTAGAAGCTGTATTGTCTGTCCTCAGTACCCCAGGCCTGAGCCTGAAGCTGGTGAAGCCCAAAGCCCTGCTGGACAACTGCTTCCGGGTCATGGAGCTGCTGTACTGTTCTTGCTGTAAGGAGCTTCCAGCGGGTGGGGCTGGGGTGGCAGAAGACCAGTGTCTGGGCCCGTCAGCACCCTCAGGAGATACGCTCTGTTCTCCAGAGTGTCAGGCCCCTTCTGGAAGCCGAGATGGCCCTGAATATAGACCAGAAAGAATGAGTGGCTTGTGGGTACCATGGTGCACGCCTACAGTCCCAGCTATTTGGGAGGCTGAAGCAGGATCACAAACTCAAAGCCAGCCCGGGGGAACTTAGCAAGACCCTGTCTCAAAATAAAAATTAAAAAAGGCCTGGGGAGGTAGTAACTCAGCACTTCCTGGGTTCAATCCCCAGTAATGTAAAAAAAAAAAAAAGTGACTAGGCTGGCTGGAGGCTGGTCCTTCATGTCCCCTGGAGCCTCTTTTTTTCCCTTTATCTCTTACAGGTAAGCGAAGCCCCATCCTAACCTGGCAGGACTGTGAGGTGCCAGGTCCTCAGCCCCACCATCCAGAGCCCTCGCTGCAGTGCTCTGCCGCCCTGTTGTACCCGCCACCTTAGACGCCCCCCACCTCCTGCCTGGCTTCCTGGGCTTAAGCGCCGGACCCCAAGTCAGGGCCCAGAGCTGAGGTCTCTCAGCCTGAGCCACCCGTATGCTGACCCTGTGTGGGCACTCCTGACTTGTCCCAGGAGCTGGGCCGGGCCTGAGATGCACACCTTTTGGAGAAGTCCTGAGCCAAAGCTGGGCTCAGCTTCTGCCTTCCGACCTGACTCTGTCACCCACGGCGTGGTGGGGGCTGCGGGCCCCTGGCTGCAGGTGGTGCTGGAGAGTACCGTGGTCACTGCAGCCAGAGCTGCGCTTCCAGGCAGCAGGCAGAGAGGTGGGGACCACGTAGGACTCCAGGACTCATGGTGGCTTCCCAGCCAGGTGGCACTAAGGGTGGAGCCAAATGCCACATCTTGCCACAATGGATGCTATTCTAGTTTTTTCTATTAAACACCTGCTTGTTTTGGTTTGGTTTGGCTTGCTTTGCATCTGCCATGGTGAACTCGGTCAGCCAAGGGCAAGTGGTGAGATGAGCAGTGTGGCTGGCCCAGCCCCGGGCTGGTGGTCAGCATCCGCACTTGGAGTGGATGGAGCGTTACCCAGGGACATTCGAGGGTCAAGTTCCTCCCAACCCTGTCCCAGCCCGTGGCACCTCAGCAGGCCTGAGGGGCATCTTTGGGGGAGTCAGAGCAATGACAATGACGTTGGCGATCTCTCACTTTCCCTGGCTGCCCAGAGAGCCCCCAGCAGGGGCTGAGTGGACACCTCAAAGTCCCAGGTCCTGGCTGGAGCCCTGGCTACGCCTGTCCCTGCGCCGGTGAGACCCGGGGGCTCAGAGCCCCCGGGGTCTGGGATGATCAAGGCCAGGCTGCAGGGGTACGAAGGGGGCAGGGAAGGCAGGCGGAGGCAGGGGTGTTAATTACAGTACAACTTTATTAATACTGGAATCTTCACAGTGCATTTGTTACTTGTAGCAGTGACTATTTAAATCAAGGGGAGGATGGAGTGAAGAGGGCGGGGAAGAGAGAATTTATCCAAAAACAGACAGAAAGAAAAGAAACAAAATGGTCCAGATGGGATGAAGGGGTGTGGTGGAGTGGGGTCGGGGAGGAAAGGGGTGAGTCGGAACCAGGAGGGGCAGCCTGGGGTGGGGAAATAAATTAAAAAAAAAAAAAAAAAAAGGAACAAGTTAACAACAGCACCAGAAAAGTTACTTCAGTCAAAAGACGCTTTTGAAAAGAATATTTCTCTGTACAAAATGAAAAATAAAACGAATGTCAAGAAGCCCCCCAAACCAAAGTTCGTGACATGGGATGGTTGGCTCGGATCCCAAGGGGGCAGGCCTACGAGGTGGTCACTACATGACAGGAGGTGGCGGGGCAGTCACGGGACAGACGAGGGATGGAGTATGTACAGCTAGGGGCTCGGAGGGGAGGGGCCGCAGGAGGGTGGGCTCCACCCTGCCCCGCCTCCCTGGGAAGGCTTCAGCCTCCCTACCCATCAGGGTGGGGAGCCACGGTGACCACCCCCGCGACACACCCCGGTGGCAGCGAGCTCTTCCTCAAAGGGAACCCTAGGACCCACCTGCATTCCCAGTGCAGAGGCCATGCCTCCCCACCCACCCTGCTGTCCAGCACCCTGTCCCCTCCCCCGTCCTGCATCCCCTTCCATCTGCTGCCCAGGAAAATCCTTGGGGGTGGGGTGGGGTAGAAATTCTACCCCAGGGCACCCCAACCTGGTCACCTGCTCTCCTGGGGCCCTGGTGCTGGTCCAGCTTGGAGAGCGAGGTGCTCGGCTCCTCAGACCTGCATGGACCCGTCTCTAGCAGTCCTCGGGGGCCACCAGGAGGGTCCATGTGCACAGAGGCATCGTCCTAGGTGCCCGGACCCACCTGGCCGCCCTGTACAAGAATGCCCACAAGTGCAAGTCCGGGCGGCCCCGACTCCCTTGGGCCAGACCAAGGCAAGCGGCTCTCCTGGCCCAGGGAGACACCACCCTCGGGGCCCTGTTGCTTTCCCGCAGACCGCGGACCACCTGGCATCCCTCCACTCGCCCTAGGCGCACGTGCTTTTACCTGCTCACACCCGGCCTGACCCGGGCCATGGAGGAGGAGGGTGTCCCACTCCTCTACCTGGCTCCCACTACTGGCTCTGGCCCAGGCCCAGGCCTGCCGTGGGGACTATCCTGGGATAGCATCTCCTCTGGCGACAGAGAGTCAAAGCCGATCTCCCCAGGCTCGCTCCCCACTGCAGGCCTGCAGCTCCCTCACACCGCAGCAGCCGAGCCCAGAGCGGCCCCAGCCCTGCCCTCTCCAGCCTTCTTGCGGCTACACTGGACAGCTACACATCCTCCCCCCGGCTTTGGGGGAGCCAATCCTGCCCTTCTCCTCCTGCCACAGGCCCAGAGGGCCACTGTGGGACCCCTCCATCTCAGGCACTCGAAGACACACACCCTGTACCACCAGCTTGCCCCACACAAAGTCCTTGTCTGGGGTCAGCTCCATTTTATTAGACTCATAAAATACCCCCCTCCCCAATCCTCTATGGCTCCAGCCCCACCGCAAAGGTGGCTGAAACTGCGACTCCAAAGGGTCACCAGTTAGAAGTCTCAATGTGCTCAGGTGAGAACGCCACAAGTGAGACAGCCCTGTGCTGGCCAGGTGACCTCAGGGGCCTGTGGACTCCTCGCCCTGCTGCGCTGTGCCCCCTGTGTGCTCACCGACTCCTCGTGGGTGAGGGCCCAGGAAGGCCCCCGGTTCCCCTACAAGGGCCCCTGACTCTGCTTAGACCCTGGGCTCCCTCCCCCACGGGAGGCCTAGCCTCCCGACACTGCCCCGCGCACCCTCACCTCGACAATTAGGTACCCCAGCTCCCTGGACGCCGGCCCTCACAGCCACCCTGTCCCCCAGGGGGAGAGGGCCCCAGGAGAGGCAGAGAGGGCAGGGGTGGGGGGTGCAGGCAGGGCGAGGAGGGTCTCAGCATTCAAGGCAGAGCCGGGGCACCGTGACCCCAGGTAGCAGTGGGCATGGGGAGCTGAGTTGTGGACCCCAGGCCAGGTGGGGCCAGGATGGCAAGGGGAGGCTGGCCTGGCCCGGCCTTTGTGGACTCGCTGGAGTTTGGAAAAGGCAGGGCCTGCAGGGAGGACGACAGGAGCAGAGTAGGCAAGGAAAGTATAAAACTGACTCCAAAACCAGCTCGAGGCCTGCAGGCTCCGTCTCGGCGAGATATGTGAAAGTCACTTCCTGTTAAAAGCTGAGACTGAGACCCAGCCCGGGTGCGTTTTCCTGTAAAGTGGCTTTGCCTCCTCCCTGGTGCTGCTCTCACTCTCGCTGTACCTGTGCTCTGTGTGGCCGCTGCTCACAGACCAAGGCCACCTGCTTGCACCAGGGCCATGCAGGGCGGGGAGGTTGGCACTATCATAAGATGCGGGGCGCCGACCTGTCGTTGGTGACGGTCCTGCGGAGCCGGACCCCGCGCCGGATGGCCACCAGCATATCTTCGGCTGGAGGGTCACTGGTGGCAGCAGGAGGTGGGGTGGGCGTCTCCTCGGTGGGGGTGGCTGACAGGGCGGTGGGGAAGGGGAACTGGCCCTCGCCCAGGGCATGGGCGCCAGCCACCAGCTCCCCAAGCTTCTCCACCAGGCTATGCCTGTTGGCGGCCAGCTGCTGCTCCTCCTCGTCCTCCGCCGCCAGCCTGGTCCCTGCCCCAGGGTAGCCGGCCGCCTCGGGGGACGGGCTTCCCCACGCTGTGTTGGGCAGGCTCAGCCTTTTCGGGGAGGCCTTGGCAAGGTCCGGGGCCAGGGGCGAGGCGGCCTCGTCTGTGTAGAACACGCACTCCTCGCTGCCTGCCCGCGTAGGCCCCACATAGCCAGGGGAGTCGGGCACTGTGGGTGTCTTCACTGGGACGATGGGCGGCCGGATGGGGATGGGGCCGGCGCTGGACAGAGCGCGGCGCACAGTCGGCTTGGTGGAGGGCGTGCGGCGGATGGTGGCCACGCCAGGGGGTGCGCCGGAGGGCAGGCCTGTGGCGGTGGGCAGCCCGGCGGTGGGCAGCCCGGCGGTGGAGGCCGGGCGCTTGGTCTGGATGAGGCGGCGGTAGTTCTGGGCGATGTTGCTGTTGCGCGGGATGGTGGACGACTTGTCAAACTCCTGGGGGCCCTCGCTATCTGCATCACCGTTCACGGAATAGCAGTCATAGTCAGAGCCTAGGGATATAGGATGTGGTGGGCCTGGGGTCTGGGTGCTGCCTGAGTCCCCACCCCTCGGGGGACACAGAGAAGGAAGGACAGGGCCCAACTGCATGCTCAGTCCCAGCTGCCCCTGGCGGCGCAGGCTGCAGAGCCCACCTTGGGAGGGGATGGTGTCCTCGGAGCATGAGGGCGTGGTGGTCTGTGTGCTGTAGCCGCTGGAATATTGCAGTGAGTCCCGGCTGCTCTTCTGGTGCTCCAGGCTCAGGCCGCGGGTCAGTACCATGGCCAGATCGCTAGCTGCGGGGGACACCTCCTCCCCGTGCTGGGGGTGAGAAAGAGCAGACTGAAGCCTCACACCCCACATCCTCAGCCACTCTCCCTGGTCACCGCCAAGGTGGCTGGGGACGGCGCTGGGGACCACTTGCTGGGACTCCTGCTACTGACCCTGGAGCCAAGGGGTGGGCTGGGGAGGCTACCCCAGGAGCTGGCTGCCTACCTTGGCTGCGATGGTGGCAGGGGACATCCGGGGTCGCGGTGTCTCCTCCGCACCGGGGCCCAGGGGGCCTATGCCAGCAGGCCCTGGCTCTGTGTCTCGGAGGAGCTCCACTCGGTCCTTCCTCCGCTGCAGGGTGGTGCCTGAGGGCTGCTCATGGGGGCCGGCCTTGGTCCAGTCCTGTGAGGTGTGGCAGGCAGGTCAGGAGGACCCTTGGCCTTGCTGCCGGTGGCCAAGGATATCCAGGTCTGGAAGGGGGCTCCGGCTTGCAATCATGGACAAGACCAGAGCCCAAAGGGTGGGTGTGACCCCTCCATCCCACCAGGCCCAGGACGGGACAGGGCGTCCCAGGAGGGAAGTGGCAGCGGCTGGTGCCAGGCAGCTCCTCTGGTAGAGACAGGTGCCAGGTGCACACAGCTCTCTGGCTGAACCTAGGCCCTCCCTGCGGTGACAACCTCAGGTTGGGAGGGCACAGGGTGAACAGCTGGTGACAGTCCTGGGCCCGGGAGCACTGACCGAGGTGGGGGAGCTGCACTCGCTAACAGACTGGCAGGTTTCTGAAGCCTCGGAGGACGCAGAGCTGGAGGACTTCTGCCATGCAGAGGCGAGCAGGTGGTTGCAGACAGGGGCCGGCGGGGGCAGGGAGGAGAGGAGACAACAGTTGTGGTCACAGCGCCGCATGCACGCGTCCCCCACGGGCCACGGCCACCAACAGCAGCGTGGCAGAAGGCAGCGGCCCAGGGTGCCTCGGTGGCACTGCCCAGCCAACAGCACAGTCCAGGAGCTGCACATCCTGAGAACTTGCCGCCGACGGCCTGCGTGTGGCAGGCGAGGCGTGCGGAGTCCCAGCGGAGCTGCCGGTTTTGCATGGGTGCCCGAGGGCAAGAACCGTGTTTACGAGGCTGGAGCTGGTCAGGTCAGGCCTGGAGCCACACACAGACAGCTGCAGGCAGGACGTGGCCACCCGGGCACAAGAGCTCAGTGGTTAGGGGGGAGAGAGTCCAGCGAGGGAGGGCGGCAAAGAGCTGCCGGAGAGCCAGGGCGGCTGTGGACTCGAAGGAGAAGCGGGCAGGCGCCCCCAGTTAGGCCTGGCTGAGCGTGAGTGGGAAAGTCCCCAGTGGGGGACGAGGTGTCCCGCACGGCCTTCCACTCCACACAAGGGAAAAGAATAAAGGAAGGAGACAAAGGCGGAGACAGAGCCACGTGGCTGGCTTCCAGGGCAGATGCCGACTCCGGCCTGTGGTCAGAGATGGAGCCGAGTGAAGCGCTCGCCTGTGATGAGCAACCTAAGCCGGGGCAGCGGGGAGGGGACCGGCAGCACCCCGCTCTCGCCCCTGATTTAGAGCCCCAGCTTTCCTACAGACTGCAGTGAGCCCCCATGGAGGCAGCGAGGCCAGCCCTGGAGCTTCTGGGGCTAACAGACATAGACACTGGATCGGTCTTCAAGGCTAGGAGGTTAGGACACCAGGACGGGTAATCAGCTCGGCCTTCGAACACTACGTGGTTAGCAGAGATACCAAGAAGCCAGAGCCAAGGTCAATCAAAACAAAGCCACAGAGGCAGGTGATCTGCCCCACTGCAAACCCAATTAGGAACCTTGCCGGAAGATAAGGGGTACATTCCAGGTGGTGTGCAGCAGACACATGTGTAGAATCCTCCCTGAAGTAACCTCTAGTTACCTTCATCAAACCAGCATAGTAACAAGCACACCTCCGGGTGGAGACATATGGGACATGTGTCACCTCTACGCGCGGCCACCTCTATGAGTGACATCAAGAGACCAGGCCCTGCCTACCCACGGATGCCACGAAAGCTGTGCATTTTCGTCCTTTTGGTCAGCGGGGCTCCTGTCCCTCAGCGTTCCCCCTCGTGCTTGAACATAGAATAAAAGCCTTGTTCCTGCGCCAAGGTGCTCTGTCTGATTGACTGGTAGCACAAGAAACCGCAGAGCCAGTAACACGATCACCAAAATCAAAGGGAACGAAGCGCCAAGGTGAAGACTTGGAGGAAGTAACCCTCTCAGGCTGCTAACAGTATGATTGTTAAAAAAATAAAAAAAAATTCAATGGGAAAAGAAATTTGGAGAAGTCAGTAGAAAAGTTCAACAGCCATTCATGAAAACCAAAAACCAAAATGCTCAAGACAACTCGGAAGCATCAGGAATAGAAAGGAATATCCTTAATCTGACAGAGACTATCTGCACGAATATTGATATTTTTCTCTCTTAGGTTGAGAAAAAGACAGACACCCACTCTCGGCACTTCTGTTCAGCACTGGAAGTCTTAGCCAGTGCAGTAAAGCATGAAAAGAAAGAAAAGCAGAAGCCCCGGAAAGGAAGAGATAAGACAGTCACTGCCTGCAATTACACAGCTATTTGAAACAAACTATAAATGATCAGAATTAGTAAGTGGACTTTAAGGAAGTTATTAGATACAAGGCCAGAAAAAAAATCAATTGTAAGCCAGGAGTGGTGGCGCATGCCTGTAATCCCAGCACTCGGAACACTGAGGCAGGAGGATTGCTATGAGTTCGAGGTCAGCCTGAACTAGATAGTGAGACCTTGTCTCAAAAAAAAGAGAAAAAAAGAAAATCAACTGTATTTCTAAAGACCAGCAGCTAACAAAGGTGTAATTATTTATTTACTTATTTATTTATTTATTTATTTATTTACGTCTTTTTGAGACAGGGTCTCCCTATGCAGTTCAGGCTGGCCTTAAACTTACTATGTAGCTCAGGCTGGTCTCAAACTCATGCTGATCCTCCTGCCTCAGCTTTCTGAGTGCTGGGATTACAGGCGTGTGAAAAGACATAATTTATAATGACAACATATACTAAATACCTGGAAAAAACAGAATGATGTACAAGAACTTTATGTAAAAACCACAAAACATTATTGAGAGAATTTAAGGTCTAAACAAATGAAGAAATATGTAATCTCAGTCAAAATCCCAGGGTTTTCTGTTTTGTTGTTTTTGGTGGAAACTGATGAGGTAATCTTAAAATCTGTACGAAAAAGTAAAGGGCCAACTATAGAAAAGGTGATGCTGGAGAATGATATGGTTGGAGGACTTTCATTAGCCAATGTCAAGATTTCCTGCAAAGTCACAACCATTCAGAGGTAGAGTTGGCACAAGGACAGACCCGTCAGCCGGCTGGACAGCCAGCTGGACACACCCAGACCCTTGACCCTTGTGTAGCACACGGAAATGCTGCTGCTGCTGCTGTGGTCCAGATGTTTGCGTCCTTCAAAGTTCACGTGTTGACACCCGGACACCCAAGACAATGGCATTAGGAGGCTGGGCGGAGCCGTCACGAATGGGACGGGTGCCTGCGTAAGTGAGGCCGGATGGAGCTCACCTGCCCCTCCCACCACGTGAGGACACAGCAAGATGGCGCCCTCTGGGAAGCCAAAAACAGTCTCTCAGCAGACACCGAATCTGCTGGGGCCTTGATCCTGGTCTTCTGAGTGTTTAGAACTGTAAAAAATACATTCCTGTTGTTTAAGGTATTTTGTGAAGGCAGATGGAAGGGGCTACAATAAAGGGTCTTTTTGGTAGATTGTTCTAGGTTAATCAGGACCCACACAGAGCCACCCCTACTTCATACCATACACAACCAGCCAACCAATCAATTCCAGATAAGCTGCAGATCTAAATGAAAAACACAAAAAGGTAAAAAGAAAATGGCTTTCTAGAGGAAAACATCTTTATGACTTGGGAATATGAAAAAATATTTCAAGCAGGACACCAACAGCATAAACAATTTAAATACTGTAACGGATAAACTGGACTAGGGACTTCAGAACTAGCCATGAAAAGGTCCCATTAAAAGGATGAAAACATCCCCACAGAACAAGAGGAGATATCTGATGAGGGATTTGGATCTAAACATATAAAGAGTACTATAAATCATTAGGAAAAACACAGTTTCAAAGAAAATAATGAAGAAAAGATGGAACAGGACCTTTGTGAAGGATATTCAAATGGACTTTGCTGGTACAAAAAGACATTCCATCTCGTTATCACGAAGGTCATGCAAAATCAAAGCACAGGCTGCGGACATGGAAGAGATGTACAATCTTGAGCGCTGGGGAGGATGCGGCATAGCAATCATCTGTGCTAACCTTGCCAACAGGGTGAACTGGTGTGGCCACCTGGGAAAACTGTCTGCTGGTATCTAAACCCAACCATGTGTACCTCCGGGACTCAGCAACCCCCGTCTAGGTACGCAGATATGCTAGGATGTTCACAGCACCGTCAGCTCCACCACAGCCCTTAAACCAGAACCAGCCAGTGTCCATCAAATACAGAAGGGCTGGGTGGACTCTACTCATACACTAGAGAGTGACGCAGGATGAGAGCGACGCATATCGCCATGTACAGCAGATGACTCATAACACAGTGCCGAAGAAGCGAAGCCAGACATAAAGGGGACCTACTGTGTGACTCCACACGTATACGTGTGCGACAACGAACAAGTACATTATTGCATGAAACGGATTACATAAAAGTTAAAAGTCAGAAAGGCAGAACTAATCTAGTCCGCACAGTGGTTATCCTCGGGTACAGCAGTGACTGGGAGACTACGGGGGCTTCAGGGCGAACACGACTTGTCTTGTTGTAGGTGCTGGTTACACGGGTGTGGTCGGTTTGCACACAGTTGTGGAGCTGTACCCTTAGGACACATTTACCTCTCTTTGTGTACAGGATACATCAATAGGGGAGATCTTAAGAGATTCAGTGGTAATGGATTTATAGCCCATAGAATCAAGGAAATATTTATGAATCCATACTGGTATAAATAAGTAATTGACTACATAAATAAATGAGCAAGGAGAGGTATTTTTACAGCAGAATTAAACTTAATAATTGCAGGAGGAATGTCAGAAATAGGCACGTCACTATAGTCACAGGCAAGGACCATTGATGGATGCTAAAGTCTGATGAAGAATAGGATATTTGGAGTTTAAAGCACCTCCCTAAAGATACGTGATTAATGACAAAGGGAAGGCTTAGGACCCTACCCAGGCGAAGCCTGGCAGACACCACCTTGTCAAGGACCATGGTGTCACCAGGCCTGAGACCCAGCATGCGGCTCATCTGACGTGCCAAGGAGCACACAGCGGCACTTCTGTGGTACTGCGAATGACTGACCTCTCATTCCGCGTGGCAAGGGCCTGATCAACCCCAACTGAGAGGCATTCCGCAAAATACCTGACCAAGCTGGGTGTGGCGGCACACACCTGTAATCCCAGCACCTGGGACGCTGATGCAGGAGGACTGGTGCAAGTTTGGGGCCAGCTGGGAAACTTGGTGAGTTCAGGGCCAGCCCGAACTGTATAACAAGACCCTGACTCAAGAAAGACAAAACGAAATACCTGGCCAGCACCTCAAAACTTCAAAGTTATGAAAGGAAGGAGGATGGGGCCAAGGAACTCGTAAGACAGGAGAATCATGACACAAAAACTAAATGCAATGTAGGATTCTGTATAGGCTCCTGGACCAGATAAAGACAGCAGACGGGAAACTTGCAAAATGTGAAACAAGTCTGGATCATTTATTAATGCTGTGTCAGCACTAGTTTCCTGGTTTTCAGAATTGTTACCTAAGACGTCAACACCGCAGGAGACTGCAAGGGAGTGTATCTGCAGGGACTGTAGGGTCTCGGGACTCTTGCTGTGACTTTTCTAGAAGTCCAAAATTATCTCAGACTAAACAATTAAAAGAAAAAACCCTTAGCGGGCAAATAGCAAAGTAGAGAACAAGTAGACTGGAAGACAACTTAGCCAGGATGTAGTACGGAGAGACAAGGACATTAAAACTATGAATTAGAGACACAGAAAGAATGAGATGGTGTGACATACACTTCATGGAATCCCAGCAACAGAATAAAAGTGCGAATACAGAGACAATAGCTGGGGCTGGGGACATAGCTCTGGGGGTGTCTAGCATATGTGAGGCCTTGGGTTCTATCGCCAGTATCATACCCACGCACGCGCGCACATACGAGTGTGCATGACATGGTATCACTAGCTTGGATGAAACAAGAAAATCCAGCCATATGCTGTTTATAAGACTCATTTAAAACCTAATTACATAGTGAGTCTAAAAGCAAACAGACTGCCAGGCATGGTGGTACACGCCTATGATCCCAGCACCTGGGAGGCTGAGACAGGAGGATTGCTGTGAGTTAGAGGCCAGGCTGGGCTACATAGTGAGTTTAAGGACAGCATGAATTATTGAGTGAGACCTTGGTCTCCAACAAAAAAGCTAAGAGATGGCACTTGGTATCAGTATGGGACAGAACAGAACAGCAGCCCTGGGACTAGTCTCAACAGCCCTAGGAGCCTCGCCTGTGAAGTGCCCGGGGCTGCTGCACCCCACCCCAGGGGGTCACCCTGACGTCCCCTCACCTGGCTGGTGATGTCTGAAGGCATGGGCGAGGGGGGCTTGGAGTAGGTGGCGTCCTGGGAGACGAAGCCGGAGTCGTGCGAGGAGACACTGGAGAGGCGGGTGGTGGCCGTGGCTGGCTGCGCCAGGCTGCGGTAGCGACAGGTGGAACTGGGTGAGTATGTTTGGGCACCCCCAGGCCACGGGGCTCCGCCACCCTTGGCACTGCTACTGCTGCTGGGGGCGCTGAGGGAGTGAAGCAGGAGGGCACAGTGGCCAGGCAGGGAGACACAGGGGCGTGTGTGGAGGGGAGGGTGACAGACGAGGGTGGGAGAGAGGTGAGGGGCAAAGGAAGGAAAAGAGAATGTCAGACCGCGAGGTCCTGAGGCCCAGGGACCACAGGGGGGCTGGGTTGGGCTGGGCTGGAGCAGGGGACACCCAGCCGTGTCCTTTGAGATCCCCAGTGCTGGGGAGCCACTGGCAGGGCATGCCCAGGATGAGACAGTCCCTGTGCCTTTCCTGTGCCATCAGAACATTTGTAACAATGGGGAAACCGAGTCAGCAGGCATCCAACAACACAAATCAAGTGACACAAGTGTGGTCATTTCCAAACTCTGCCAGTCGGAGGTGGGCATCCAGCTCTGAGCATGGAGGTGGTCCCCTGGGAGGGTCCTGAACCCACCACCCTCCTCATCCCTGCCTTCCCCTGCTGAGTACCCAGCGCTCCGTGGCTCAGACCCTCTCCTCTGAACAGCCATTTCTGCCCTGGACCATTTCCTGGCAGGGAAGGTTGCCTTCTGCCTGAGTGTGATGCTGGAGTCTCCTGACCCTGTCCTTCACCATGGGTTACCCTGAAATCAACAATCCTTCCTGGGACGGCCACCCACTCAGGGTTGTATGAGGCTCCAGCCGCCTGAGGAAGGAAGTGACTGCTGGGTCTAGCTTCTCCCAAGCCCCGGTGGCCAGCTAGAGGGGCCTCTCTGGCAGTAACCTGCTCTGTGCCCGCTGCCCTCCCTGCCCGGAGCCGTGATTTGTAAACGTCTGCTCCAGATCTGGCTGCAGTGCCAGCTTGAGGGTAGATGCCCCATCTTGAGCCACACTGGTGGCCGGGTGAGCTCCTGGGCCTTTCCCCAGCTCTGAGACCTCAGGAGCCAGGCCAGGCCAGGGCTGGAGCTTGTGGTGGCTCCAGCTCCAGGAAGCAGCCAGACTGGAGGGGCCTTTACCTCGTGACTTCAGCACCAGTTCCCAGACACCTCTGCACGCTTCCCTGATCTTGGTTTCTTACTATCACCCCACTCTGTCCCAGGCCTGGGAGCGTCCAGCGGTTACATGCTAGGACCTTGTGCTTCAGTTTCCCACTCTGTGACACGGAGAAAACACTATGTCCGACAGTGGTGCTAGGATTCAGTGAAGAAAACGTGTGGCACCCGGCACAGAGTTCACGCTCTGGAACTGAAGCTACTGTCCCCTCTTTTCTGCCAACAAACGTGTGCTCCAGCAGCACTCCGGGGACAGATGACCGGGTCGGTGTCCCCTGTGCACCTGGAAGTTCCTCAGGTGCTGGGAAGTTGCATGGACTCTGGGACCAGAAGCAGTCCTGATGCAGCTTTGCTGGGTGTTTGCCTAGTGCCTCCTGGGGTTACCCCTCCCATGCGTGAGCCCTCCACCGACCAACCTGCACATGCTGGACTTCCGGGAGCTGGAGCTGCTGGGTGACGAGGGCGGGGTCTGGTAGGACCAGCTGTAGTCTGAGCCCTTCAGGTCCTTGATTACCTGCACAGGGACACGGATGCGGGTCACTGGACTAGAGGCAGCCTCTCACCTGCAGAGAGCCTTAAGGGTTTTCTGGGGCCCCTCAGCAAGCTGGTAAGGCCGGCTGCCTCTGTTCCCCCACCTTAAGCATCTCCAGCCTCTCCCCCAGCCTCTGTTGATGCAAGCTCCTTCCTGGGGTGGGAAGCAGGACACACACACACACACACACACTGCACACACCAGGATGCTGTCTTCTCTGAGCCCCTTTAGCTCACACAGAGCAAGAGTTCGGGGACTCTGAGCCCAGCTCAGGTCAGGCAGGGGACACAAGAGAAGCAGGGATTCCAGAGGACACAGTCACTGGCAGAGGAACCAGGACACGAGAGCGTCTAATCATTACTCTCCATTTTCTCCCGTGAACTGAGGCCAACTGCTCTCGTCTTAGGGCACCGTCAAGAGGCTTCAATGAGCTGCCCCATGGAGAGGGCTCAGCAAGGTACTGGGCACACAGGAAGTGCCTGCAAGTGCAATGCCACTCGGGCTGTGCAGCGGGAGCAGGGGACAGGAGAAGTAGACAGGTATGCTTGGGTCTAGGGTAGGTGACAGGGTTTCTGTGTGTGGGCGGCAGCCAGACATCAGCAGGTTTGCAAGGGCCAAGCCCCAGGAATCTGATCTGGGATGTCCACCCATCTGCTCTCACCCGAGACCTCTGCTAGGCCCTGGGCAGTCACCCCTAACCCCCACAGTGGCTGCCAGAAGGGATCTGGTCTCTTCTCCCATGTGCCACTCCAAATGCTGTGCCCTTCTCTCCTCTATGGACCCCTGCTGAGGGTGGGACCCCCTTGCCCCCCGCCCTCGGCTCCAGGGCTCACTGCACCTGCTCGCTGGCGGGAGGCAGCTTGTGGGGTTCCGCGGTCAGCACCACCAGGTCGTCAATGATGCCCTGCAGGTGGGTGATCTCTCCTAGCATGGTCAGCTCGCCGTTCTGAGGAAGCAGCCAGAAGAACCGATGGCCCTGTCGCCTACTTGCTGCCCAACCTGCTCAGGTCTCTCCCCTCACCCTGCCCAGCTAACGGTGTCCCCAGGGCTGGCCAGACACCCATCCAGACCAAAGCAGCGCACGACCAACTGTAAGACCCGATCTTGGACATGTGGCACTGGATATAACTAGTCAGGGATCACAGACTAGTGTCCCTGGAGGTCAAGAGGTCTCCCCTGGGCCTCGCCCTCCCTGCTGGGGCCTCTGATCCCCGGGGACCCACCACCACAGGCTGCAGGAAAGTGATGAAGGTACAGAAGCGGCCTCGCTCCTCAATCAGGGCCCGGCGCACCGCCTGCTTTTCCGTCTCCTCCAGCAGTAGGTACATGTCATTGACGTCCTGCAGGGCACTGTCCAGCTGGGGCTGCAGGTCTCCTTTCCCTGAGGGGGTGTGGAGGAGACGCCGTGCTGGGGACGTCGGCCCGGTCTGCTGCACCCAGGGTGCCGGCCGCCACAGTGGTGCCCCTGGCCGTGGGGCTGGGCACTACCACGGGCACTAGGGGGACTGGGGAAGGTGGGCTGTGGGGCTAGTGGAGGGGCTGGTCCCAGCAGAGCAGGCAGAGAGGACAGACAGACACACACACAGGGAAGACACCCACGTTGCAAAGCCACAGGATCTGGGGTGGGCCGGGCCAGCCATGCGGAGGCCATGGAGGCCTCCACTGCCCAGGAGGCCCTCGCTGTCCCAGGATAGGCCCCCCTGCCTCACAGGCACAGGGAAGGGACGTGGAGGCAGAGCAAAAGCTCAGCTGTAGGCCAGGCCCCCAGGAGGTGCAGGAGTCAGGGCAGCTCAGAGCAGGGCCTGGGGAATGGGATGAGGGGTTCTGGCGTGGCCCCCACGGAGCTTGGGGAGCAGTGCACAAGGACACGACAGCGACACGAAGAAGCAGCGAGAGAGACAGAGAGAGGCAAGAGGATGACGTGGAGGCAACGGTGAGGGGAGGCAGGAAGTAACAGATAAGGAGCCGGCTGGCCTGGCGGGGACAGGGTGCCCCAGTCCGCCCGGCCCAACCCCCCAGCCCCTCCTGGCCTGGCAGACTGACCCAGCACTGGCCTGGGACTCATCCCTGGCCGGGGCCCCAGGGGCCCCGGGGGACTGTGGCCCAGGCCCCTCCCTCGGTGCACAGACCACCTTCCTCGCTCCTCCTTGGCCTGGAGAGGGTCCTTCCAATAGCCCTGAGCTGGGGGAAGACAGACAAATGCAACAAGGACAGGAGGAGCAGCTGGAGGGACGGACGTTTGACTTACCAAGTAGCTCTACAGGAAGGATGTGGGAGGAAGAGAGGAGGAGAGACAGAGAGAGAAAGAATGTGTGAAAGACAGCCGGATGGACAGTGCCACTCCTGGGGTCGGGTGGGGCCTGGGCCTGGGGGGCCTGCTGCCTCCCGAAGGAGGGCCAGGGCTGGGCTGGGACAGGCGGCTCCCTTGGTCCCACCCGGCGGGCTGGAGGTCCGTGTGGGGGACAGGGCTCCTCTGGAGGTGCCCACCAGGCAGTGGGGGCTCGAGTGGGGCCCACGGGGCTGGGCTGTGGTGGGGTGCTCTGGGCTCTACCTTTGCGCGCTTTCTTCTGCAGCTTCAGAGTGTCTGATGACTTCTTCTTGATCTCGTGCCGGGCTCGTTTGTACTCTGTGCAGCGGGTAAAGGAGAGACTGTAAGGCTGGGCGTGGTGGCGCAGGCCTGTAATCCCAGCCCTCAGGAGGCTGAGGTGGGAAGATCGCTGTGAATTGGAGTCCAGCCTGGACTACAAAGTGAGCTCAAGGCCAGCCTGAACTGCATGGCGAGAAACTCTCAAAAAACAAAATACAAACACCAACAATAACAAGCAAGAGGCCGCCACAGGAGTCCCGTGGGGGTGGGCGGGGGGACCGGCGAGGTCCTGTCCCACCTTTTGCGTGGTCCTTGTCCAGCTGGTTGGCCGACTTCTTCCAGTCCTCGATGCGCTCCTGCAGCGGGTTGATGAGGCTCTCCAGCAGCGCACTGTGGGCGGGAGCTGGGGTCAGGCTGCGCAGAGGGGGGTCTCGGGGCCCCCGCCGCGCCTACTCACTTGGTGAACTGCCGCAGCTTGGTCTCGATGCTGCGGTGGCGCATGCACATGCGCGTGAGCGCCGAGCCAATGTCCCGCGTGGCCCCTGCCAAGTCAAGGGCACAGCGTGGGCTTGGGCCCAGGGCCTCCGCAGTCCCCTCTGCCGCCACAAGGGGGCATGCCGGCTCTTCGGCCGCAAGGGGCCCCACCGCATCTCCATCCTGCAGGGCCCTGATCTGGTACACCGGAACCAGTGCCCCACCATCCCAGCTTCGGGCAGCCGCGCGCCCTGCTGGCTAGGACGGAGCCCCGCCTCTGCCCCAGCTGGGAGAGTCCCGCCCCGACGGCTGCCCAAGGGAGCCCCTCCAGGTGTGCCCAGACGTGGGCGTGAGGGCGTCTGCACGTGCCTGCCAGGGGTTCTCACCACTCCAAGGACCAGGAGCCCAGGTCCCCAGGAACTGGAGATGAGTGAGAAAAGGCCAGACACTCACGGTAGAGAAGGGTGAACAACTGCTGAGGAGTCACCAGCACAAAAGGAAGCCCCCACCCCAGCACATCCCTGCCCTCACTCACCACTCCTGCTCGCATACCTCTTGTGACGAGGGGCTCACTGTCTCCACAACCAGCCCAGTCCGTCAGGGAGCAGAACCCAAGGTCTCCACTCGGGGCCGGGGCTCCTTTCCCTGGCCCATGCCCCCCTCAGCCTGGCCACTGCCCACCCACCCCGCACAGCGCTGGCCAGCCGTGCGCCGCCCCACCTCGGGTGTTGGTGGCCATGTCAGCCACTTTCTGGAAGGCATCCAGGAAGGCCACAGCAGCCAGCACGGTGGTCCTGGGGAGACGTGCAGTTGGGAGGCTGGTCAGTGGGTGAGGGCTCCTCCTCTGCCCACCCCTCCCCAGCGGGGGGCGCTGTACAGTCTCACCTCAACTGGGAATGCAGCTTGGTGGCCTTGGAGTTGAAGTCCTCCCAGATGGGGTAGGAGCTCTGCCAGGCAGTGGGGAGAGGAAGTGAGATATTTTTGAGGGGTGCTGTACTTCCTACATGCTGTCCACACTTGGGGCACTTTCTTTGTTCTTGTTTTTTTGAGAAAGGATTTTGCTACGTAGCTCAGACTGGTCCCGAACTCATCAAGATCCTCCTGCCTCAGCTTCCTGAGTGCTGGGATTATAGGTGTGTTCTGTTAGGTTTCGGGGCAATTTCTGAGAGTGGCCATGGCCTAGGGGACAGGATGTTCCTGTACTCTCTGGGAGGAGAGAGGTCCAAGCATGAGGGAGGCTTGAACTCTTGGCTCATCCCTCCCACCTTGGCGGACAGGAAGTCTGTCCTGCTGGTCAGTCAGCGACCACATGCTCGTGCTGCTGTCCTCCCTCAGGGGAGAGAGAAGCAGCTGATGGCAGGTCCTGTCTCCTGGGCTCTCCAGGGGCCTGGCCAAGATCTGGGCACCACGGCCCCCAGACACACCTAGGATGGTAGGCACCAACCTGCTGCCTACCCTGGGGGTAGAGGCTGGAGGCGGGCAGGGCTCATGGCAGCTAGGCTGATGGGGGCTCCGGAAGCTGTTGCCGGCCGGCAACCATCCCAGGCCAGCAACAGTGGCTCCCAGGCCTGGGGAGGCCGTGGCTGCTGCAGGGCCTGGCCAGCCTGCCCAGGACAACCAGGCCCTGGGGCTGAATGGGGCCTTGTGTGGGCAACAGAGCCACCTTTCTCCACCCCCCTCTCCCCTCCCCTCCAGGGGAAACAGTGTGGCCTTTATCTCAGCCTGGCCCAGGGCTTCTCACTGGGAGGGGGTTTCCCAACAGGGAGGTTGGGCTCCTGGCGACCGAGTTGTCCAGTCTGATTAAGGGGCTTTTCTGGCTAATGTGCTCTTTCCACTGACGTGGGGTATGCAGGACACTCGGCCCTGGGCTGAAGACACTGGGGAGACCTTGCATTTGAAAGGCAGCCCTGGAGGAAAGGGGTCCTTACCCAGGAGGACTGGGGGGGAGCTGGAGCTTTTCCCAAGGGAGGGGGAGGCATGGACTCAGGCCTCAGGGCCTCAGAGGAGGCTGTGCTTGGCTGCAGCCCCAGGGCCAGTTGGAGATGGCCACTCCAGGCCGGGGGCGCGGGAGGGAGAAAGGACCCAGGCAGCTTCAGGAACCTCACAAATGCCCTCCCCTCCCAGCCCAGCGCAGCCAGTGTCCAGGGAAAGCAAATATTTGAGAAGTGCACCAAGGCTGGAACAGGAGGCGGTGGCTGTGGGTGGGCTGTCCCCACACAGGCACGGGGTAAATGGGCCGGGGAGGCGGTCCCTCCTGGTCCCGGGGAGCTGACCCAGGTTTCGCCCAGCAGGGTCTTCTGAACCACCACCACCCCCGCCCCACCCACAGGGTACTGAGAAAATGTTCCTTCCAGTGCAGGGACAGGGCTCTCCCTGGTGCAGTCCCTGGGACACCTTAGACCCCTCGGTAGCCCCAGGGTAGCTTCAGAGAGCTGTCTCAGCAGAAGGGAACTGACAGGGTGTGGGGAACACCAGGCCCAGTGATTCTCTCTTCCTTATCTCCAAAGGTCATAAAGGACCTGAGAAAGGGAGGTGAAAGGGCTGGAGTGGCGGCGCCCCAGGGAGGGTGTCCCCGGTGCCCTGGAGCCAGGCTCTGTGCCTTGCAGGGAACAGCTGGTCACACAGCATCTTCAAGACAGCCTAGCACTGCCCCTTTTCGCTGATGAGGAAATGGGGTCTTCCGATGTTAAGCGACTTGCTGGGATCACAGGGCAGTGGAGTCAGGGTCTGACCCCACGTGTGGGTTAGAGACATCCTGTTTCCAAAGTACAGGGGCGTGAGGTCCTCAAATGGACGGATGGGACTGCTGCGGCCCAGATGTGTACAGAGGAGCAGCCCAGCCCAGGCTCCGCCCCAGACAGTAGGCTTTCCAGGCGACCGGGCCTGGGTTCCTCACGTGTGCAGTCAGGGCAGGGACTGCACCTACCGCTCGGGGTCAGGTGTGGACGCCAGGGGGCACTCGGTGCAGAGGAAGCGCCTGGCATGGGGCCTCACAGGTGGCAAGTGTGGCTGAGAGCCACAGGCCCCGCCTCTGGGAGGCATCCTCCCATTGGGTGACACTGTCCCTCCCGAGGGGAGGCACACAGGTTGACCCCCTTGTCTGCCTGGACCTGCGCAGGCCTCTGCTGGGATGCTGTCCCCATGCCTATTGGCCTGGCCAGTCCCTGCCCGTTCTGGGTTGATAGTTGGTGACCCAGCCCTGAGCTCCTGGCCTCTTCCGGCTGTCCAGGCTCCAGGTGTACCTGGGGAGCCCCCTCTCCCCCTCTGCCATCCTCAGTCCAGGGCTAGAGCCCAGGAGAGCTGCTGTGGGGCCTGGCGGCTCCTGTGGACACATTCAGTCTTATGACCTGGCTGGCCAGCCGGTGGCTGCTAGAGAGACAGCCAGGAGCTGCTCCCCATCTCCAGCCACCTGCCCTCCAGGTGGCCCAGCCCCCTGCTCTGTCCCTGAACACACGCCGGTGTCATCAGTAGGGGCAAATCCGCGCCTGTTTGCCTCCCGTTGCAAATCCCGCTCACCACTTGGCCAGGGCCTCCCGCTCCAATCCGATCGATCACCCTGGGCCCTACTGGCCTCCCCCTCAAGTTCCTTGCAGTTGGCAGGGAGCGAGGGGACACAGCACGGCTCCTCTCCTCCGGGCAGACGCGGCTGCCGCTGCAGTGTATGCTGTGCAGCTGCCAGCGGGAGGAGGTGTGGGTAGCTTCCACCCTCAGCCAGCCCAGCAGTGGCCGGGCGAGGTGGTCGGGGCTGCCAGTGCCAGAAAGGGACCCTGGTGCCTGGGCCGTGATGGCTGCAGGGTGGGCGGAGGCTGCTGAGGACCGGCAGAAGGGGCTTGGAGGTGGAGTTGCCGGGGATAGAGGTGTGTGGGGGAGAGTGTGCCGCGGTGTGAGGGCACCCACATGCTGTTCACTGGGCAGTCCCACTCAGGGTGGCTTCAGGACTCTTCCTCCCTTGGGGGCAGGGATCTGGCAGCTGCCCCGCGGGCTGCCCCCTATCCTAGTAGTACCAGAGGAAGCCCCAAGCTCTTGCCTGCCTGCAGCTGTCCACCTCCCAAAGCAGCCGTCTGGAGCTCTTGGGTGGGTCACACTGGAGTGTGTGGTGTCTCCCGTCCCTGCCCAGGCTTGGTGGGACCATGCTGTGCACCTGGCCAGCGTGTGTGGGGCGGGAAGTGGGGCCCTTGGCGTTCCCGTAGGAACCCAGATCTTTTTGCCGCCTTCCGTCCTGCTCCGTCATCCGTAGGAGCGCTGGTTCCTGTCCCTACCCTGTCACTGGAGCCGGGCCCTGTCTGGGGCAGTAGATCCTGTCAATCCCTGGTCTCTCTGGGGGAGCACATTCCCCCCACTCAACACACTCAGATGAACAATGAGTGTAGTCAGGGCAGGGTCCTACATTCTCCTTAATGACCTTGAGCCATTCCTAGGCCTCAGTTTCCCCATCTGGCAGGGTGAGCAGAAATTGGTGGCCTGTTCCTACCTGACCTTGGGTAATCACCATGAGGAAAGGAGGCTTGGTGCTGAGAACCTGGGTGACAGTGGGGGTAGGAAAAGCGCGCCCACGGGGTTGCGCCTCCAATCCTAACCTTCTCGCTGCCTGCATCCCAAGGTGGTGATAAGGCCCATCCTTGGGATGCAGGGACATCCGGCCCGGAGACCTTGGAGTCTGGGAGCTCGCTGGGGTGGCTGCCGAGGGGGGGGCGGGGCTGGGCAGCTGTCGCAGGGTCGGGCCGAGGCCGGTGGGGAAGGAGTTAACGGTCTCTTTTATTATTTTTTCCTGCTTCGGTGGTGACAGCATTGTCTGGGCTCCTGGGTCATCGGGGGCTGGGGGCCATTGTGGTGGAAGGGGCGGAAGCCAGAGGGACCCCAGGCTCGTTCAAGGGCCATAGCGACACGGCCTTGGAGTCAAATCCCATTCATGGCTCGGGGGTCTGGGAAGCAGAGAGCCCGAGTGTGCGCAGGCTCGGAGCGGCTCCGCGCGGGGCGACCCTGGGCACCGCACTGACACCCCAATCCACGAGCACCCACACCCCCCAGACAGGGACCCAAAGACCCGGGCGCCAGGGGGACGCAGGCAGGGCGCACTGAGACAAGGACGCGCCGACACCGCAGGGCACGGCCACCCGCCGCCACGCGTCCCCGGAGGGCACCGCGCCCG